TTTCCCTTTCCCCCCACCCCCCTTTTTTTTTCTTCCTTTCTTTCTTTTTTTTTTTTTTTTCCCTTTTAACACTCTCCGTGCTGCGAGGCGTGTTTAAACACACACGAGCAGGAATGCACGAATGCCCATTAGGGACTGCCACATGTGAATCACGGCACTGTGCAGTTCTCAGCACGCTGGAGCCAGGACATGTGATCCGGCAAAGGGTTTGCATCCGGATGCCAACACAAGCACCGGAGCCGAGCTCCCGGCCCCGAGAGCTCCCGGCTCCACAAAGGGCTCCGGTGCCCCTTTCCCCCCTTTCCCTGCGGGACTATTTGCGCAGCTTCCCCTCCGTGCCCCAGACAATCCCTGCATCCCACCCTGTGCCACCCCCAGATGCACTTCGGGGCAGGTAGAAGGGAGAAAATAAAAGGTAGGAGAGGGGAGGAAAACGCAAAATAATAATAATAATAATAATAATAATAATAATAATAATAATAATAATAGCGGGGCGGCGGTGGATTGGGTTCGAGCTGGTGGCGGGGGGGTCGTGAGAACTCCGGCAGGCTCCTCGTTTCCATCCCCGGCTCCTCTCTCTGCCTTGCAGCGGCTGGAAATTAGACCGAAAGTTGCTGTAAAGACTTGCAAATGGACCGCATGGCAGAGGGGGAGGCTGGGGATGGCTGGAACACGCTGCGGTTCCAGGGGGATTAGTCTGGCTCCCAAGGGCGAACTTTAATTAAAGGTACCACAGGGCACAGAGTACAGGAATTCTTAGCATCCTCAGTTCTGGTCTAAAAGCTGCCCCTGTTTAACTTTATCCCCAGGCTTTTTCAGCAACCACCTTCCCTCTGGCAGTACTACTACATCTATTTTATTTTAAAGGACCAGAAGGTGCCGTGTTAAGATTTTTGGGTTGGTGGGGTTTGGTTTGGTGTTTTTGGTTGGGGTTTTTTTTTTGTTTTGTTTTCTTTTTTGGAAGTGAGTATTAGACAGCATTTTTTATTTTTTTTTTCAGTATTACGTAACATCTGAAAGGGCAGAATAAATACATATGTAACTGCTAGCTCCAGTACATCTATTTTATGTACTACATATATAAATATAAATATTTTCTGTTGATTTCTGCATAGCTGAGCACACAGTTAAGTTTTTGTACAACTCTTGGTGCAAAGGAATTCACGTATCAGTGGGAGTTTTGCCATTAACTTGACAGACATCCTGACAGGCAAAACCCAGTGGTCTGTAAAAAAACATCGTGCTAAATGGCCAGAAACTTGCTCAAAGTACCAAAACCGAAAAATTTTGGCTGTCTGGGTCCTGGGCTTCTCGTTTTGGCACTTAAATTTGCTGGGGGGGGGGTGGCTTTGCACGAGCCAGAGAGCAAAAATCATGCCTGTCCTTTGCTCCTGAGGAATTCAAGAGCATGAGACAGTTCTCAAGTGAAATAGCTTGACGTAAGCATAGTGGATTTGGCATTTACTCCTTGGATATCACTTTCATAACACAATACACCCAAGTTTTGGCCTAATTCCTGCGCAGAACGGGCACGCTGCGGGTACGATTAACCACTGTCACGCATTTTTCTCTCAAACTGATGTTGGGAGCAAAACAACTCTTGTCTCCCCTACCCACCACCAGTTCCTGTGAAGAGTTCTTCAAATTAACTCTAACCAATACTCGTTCTAGCTGAAATCCAGCACTGCCTGGTCAATGCTGGCGATGTGGGATGTGGAGTGTTTGAATGCTTTGAGAACAATTCCTGTGAGATCCGAGGCTTACACGAGATCTGCATGACCTTCCTGCACAACGCTGGAAAATTCGATGCCCAGGTAACACGGGGAGATGTCCTACCTGTCTGCTTGCTTCTAACACACACCTGGCACCTACTGCAGCTCCTTAACACGTATTTGCACAAAGAACTCCCGGAGCCAGCCTGATTCTGCCGTGATTCACTAATTCACCAGGAATTTTTCTGTGGAAAGGTCCAGAATCAGGACCCTCAGGACAGGAATAAAGCAGCGGTGTGCAGCCTGTCCTAGGAGACAGGCTGGCTGTAGCTGCAGCTCCCTGGATCCCTTCCACCTCCTGTAGCCAGGATAACTCCAGCAGAACCCTTCATGGAGCCAAACTTGGTTTTAAGAAACATAGGGCGGCTTAAGCCTCTACCCCGTGTTTGTTCAAAGCCGACTCTGAGACGCAGCTTGGGCTCCCAATTCATTTAGAATTATCTTGGTATTTCCCAAGGGGCAGTCACTAAAGTTGGCCCTCAAGACTTGCACACAACCAGCCCAGGCAGCCTCCTAAAGCTGCTGTACCCAAACCTTGGGTTCGAGCGCTGACGTTAAAATACGTTACTTCCATGGTATGTGGTATTAAGTTTGTCTCCTTCATTTTCTCCCCAGACCATTTATGCATCATTGAGACATCCTGTTATTATGTCTTGTAAACCTCCTCTCCCATTTCAGCGTGGAGGGAAGGGAACATTCCCGAGGGCCGGCGGCACTTTGGGCCTGAGCAGGCAGTTTAGTGAATAACTTGACTAAAAGCACGGGCTACATGGCACTGCTAAAAGCGTGGCACAAAGTAGGGCTGTCCTCAGGATCCAGCCTGTCCCATGAGGGGTGCTGGCACCATCCAGCAGGGAGCACTTTTTTGTAGTGCTGGAGCTTTAGGTTCAAATGTTCAAGGATGTACAAAGGGCCTGGCTGCTCGCTAAAATGGGAATTGCTGCTTTTGTGGGTATCTGAAAACCTTCAACTTCATTTCCAAGTGGCTTCCAGAAAACACTGGTTCATTTCTGCACAATATTTCTGTCAGTGAACAGAGCTGACCAAGGGAGTAGGGAAGGAAAGTTGGGAAGGCAGGGAATGGTGAAGGCTGAAGCCAGATCCCCAGATACTGCTCATCAAACACAGCCCGTCTCACATCCAGGCTGTCTCCAGTGCAGAGCAGAAGATTTAAACCCCTGGAGCTTTATTTAACATGAAGGTGACTTTAGCCTCTGCTATGACATGGCTTTTCACAGCTCCTCTCTCTGTATCATGCCCAGTTATTTCAAGCTGCATTAAATGACAAGACTAACACTGGCCATTTTCTGTTCTCTGCTCGGAAACCTGAGAATTGATGTCAGTTTGGGTTTATATAAGAATTCTCTTTTTCATCCCTATTTGCCTACTGTGCTGTGTGTTTGTTCCTGAAGGGAAGGGCGAGGGAATGCCTTTGGTATGGGAAACTGAAAGGGATGAAGCAGCTCTTTGATGAGCAAGAAACGTTTCTGGCTTGAAACAATCTGGGGACATCTGCTTCACTCTTGGGTAAAGAGGAGCAAGGATTTGGTCTTCATGGAGCACCTGCATAAAAGAATCTGAGGCTGATGAGGAGGTGGAGGCAGGGCAGGAGGCTTCCATGGGTCTATTGCTCAGCAAAGCACTGGGAGTCTGAGCAGAGCTGTAGCTGCAGGGTCCAAGAAAAGGGGAAAGGAAGGGATAGATTTGATGGCCACCAAGCAACTGAGTGAAGGAATCACTGTGGTTAAAGAGATGCTGCTAAAGCAGCTTTCCTCCACCTTATTTTTTAGCTTCTTGATCTGATTTTCTTAATCTCAGTTTCTTGCAGCAGACATGAAGACATTGTGGGGTGAATGATGATGATGATGATGAATGTTATTATTATTATTAGTGCTGATTTGAGTCCCTCTCTGAGCAAGAAAATACTGATAGCTGGGGAACAGGGCAGGTGCACATAGATCATGCATACGTTTCTGTGAGTTTGTAAACTAATTTTAAAATGAGAAAAACCCCTGCAGTTCCTGAATGGGTATCTGCTTGTGGTCTTGAGGAGCTCAGCCATGGCAGGATGCCCTCTCCTTTGTGTGGACCTGTTGTTCTGCCACCCTGGAAGCAAATTAATTCAGCACTGAATTACTTCAAGGTGCTTACTTCTGCTCTTTCCCTGGTTGGGCATTGAGCTGTTGGGGCAGAGGAAACCTCAGAGCAGCAGTGGGGAAGCCCTGGGTGTTTCAGGTCCACTGGGACAGCAAAGCTGGGTAACTTGGCAGGGTCTTTAAGGGCAGAGAAGAAGGGGAAAGCCATTAAGTGATATCCTTAGTACTGTAATAACCCTTGACATTGTCCTGCAGAGAAGCAGCTGGCTGGGCATAAATCAGCTGCTGTGCTTAATGGACAAAAATACAGACCTACTCCATTTCTTTCCTTCTCAGGGAAAATCCTTCATTAAAGACGCTCTGAAGTGTAAGGCTCATGCCTTGAGGCATAAATTCAGCTGCATCAGCCGTAAGTGCCCTGCCATTAAAGAGATGGTGTTCCAGTTACAGCGGGAGTGCTACCTGAAGCATGACCTCTGCTCTGCTGCCAAGGAGAACGTCCAGGTCATTGTGGAGATGATTCACTTCAAAGACCTGCTGCAGCATGAGTAAGTGCCTCGGTGCTGGTGCAGTCAGAGCGTGGGAGCTCCTTCCAGGAGTGTCAGTGGGCTGTGCATCTGCCCAAGAGCTGTTTCACCTCCTTCTGGCCTTAAGCACCTCTTGTTTTCTCATGTACAGCACCAAGGTAAAGCTTTCTTTGCAGGGCCCCTTGAGGTTTGTGTACCAGGGGTGAGATGTGAGTGTGGAAGGAGGTGAAATGAGCTGGATCTGCCCATCCCCTTGGTGCTCTGGGAAATCCACCAGCAGTGTCTACCATTTCCAGGGGCATCTCACAATGGGTTTATTTTGTTTTTCTGAGCTCAAAGGCATCGCTTTGACCCCAGTATCCTGTTAGAGGTGACAACTAGAGAAGGGGGAAGAAGGTTTATGCAAAGTTGTCAGCAAGATGATAATTTCTTCTTTAAATACATACTTTGAAATGTCTTGTAGTTAATTGTCCCTGAAAGAGCTGCAGTCCCCCAGGTAATCTCCCATTCATCTTCCTTCTTTATTAATCTCAGATGCTTTTTAATAAAAGATGGGGTTGTGCAAAATGAAGGCACAAGTCAGATTTTTGAGGACTTCATTCCTCTAACTAAGAGCACAGCTGTCCTCCAAGGAATGGCAGGCACAAATCCTACTTGGAATTGATCAAAGCTGCTACATGACAGCAACAAACCAAGCACAAGCTGTTTGTACTGACTCTTTGTGCACAAATGCAAAAATCAGAGCCTGTTTTTCTTGCAGGTGAACGTCTCACTCCTGAAACAAGAAGGCTGAGCCACAGCCTGGCATCAGGCTTAACCTTAGAGCATCTTCCTACCACACCTCTGTGCCTTGATATTAGCACAGAAACTCCAAATCCAAGCAGTCATGACAGACGATTTCTTTTTTTACTGAATCACTTCTTTGGGAATTTCAGCCTTGCATTTTATTTTCCTCACCACCCAAGGGAGCTGTGCTCTGGTTCCCTTAGTGCTGAAAAACACCCCCCCACTAATATTTCAGCAGCAGTTGCAGAGAGATGCTTCAATGCCAGTTTACTCCCACAAATCCTGTGCTGTGGTTTGCTCAAGCTGGCCATGGTGGCCCGAAAGCAAAGCCCTTTCTCTGGACATTCCTGAGGCTGGGATCAAAGGCACGGCTGGGGGCAGAGCTGCTGTGCTCAGGGCCATGGGCAGCATCCTGCTGGCTGAGGGAGAAGGGCAGCAGGGCTCCATCCTGCCCAGCAGCACCTCTCTGGGCACTGCCTGGGCTGTGTCAGCAGCTATAAATTGGGTACTTGGCACCAATTAACCCCCCCATCATTTGGGGATGAAAAGAACTGTGCGAGCCAAAAGCCTGTCCAAGGAGGAGTGAGTTATCCTTATTTTATGAACAGGCTCAAGCAGGAATGCTCAGAGGCAGCTGCTTATTTCTGGGGAGCTGAACTGGGGGGTTGTTGGTTGGAGAAGAGAGGGTCATTCAGCTGAACACCTATAATTTGCATGATCTCATTTAGCGCTTCCTACACTCCAGCATCTCCCGGAGCGGGAGCTCGGCTCTCCTATGCGGGACTCCCCAAATAGAACCAGCCAGCCTCCTCCCCTCCCCTAAATTTAGAGGCCATCTCTGAAGCTCTTGAACTAAGGAACTTGTTTGAGATCAATAGGCAAGTGTGGCGGAGCTGGAAATAAAATCACGTCTGCTGACTTGCAGCCTTGTGCTCGGTTCAGGTAGTCTGGTCAGGCCGGCTGAAATGCAGAAAGTAAAACAGGCAAGGAGAAATGGGCCAGTATTAATCCACAGGGCTCTGGCAGGCTCTGAATACCTGAAATATTTGGCAGCTGAGCCACTTTTTAGTCATACCAGCGACCTTTTTTCTTACAAAGATTTCTGCAAAGGCTATGCCCAATTTCAAGAACTCATTTCTTGGGTGGTGGGGGGAGGTTTATATCCTTTTGCTGGCTACACTTTGTATGCAACTTGCTCAGCTCTCTCTTATCTCCTACTTTCCATTTAAAACAAAAACCTGAGAGCAGAGAAGCGAGTGGCAGCTCTCAGGCTTGTTCTCTGTTTTGTTCTGACTGTTCTCTCCCGATGAGTGTTCGGAACGCGGTCGGGGCGGTGAAGCCTCCTCCTGAGTCAGCTGTGGGGGTCAGGCTGATTTGCTATGGTGGAAGTGGTGACAGGCCTTGGCAGATTCGTCCCTGCTGCATTCCAAGTAACTTTTTTTTTTTTTTTTTGAGCAGCAGGAACAATCCAGCCATGGGAAATATTTTGAGATAGGGGAATAGGTGGCTCTCCAAGATTAGCGATTCTCAAAATGAGGTTAAGCAGTTGGTAAAGTTAGATGCTGTTGGTTTTCCTCATCTCTTCTGTCTTCAGTTAGTGAGAAGAGATTTAGACTTGTCCACAGCCACCAGAGCTGGTGGATGGGGTGCCCAAGAGGTGCACCCCCACCACCCACCCCACACAGCCACGACTTCTGACCCCGGGCAGCTTTCCACGTGTGCTGTGGATGGTTCCTGCCGTGGAAGATTTTTAAGCACGTCCTTCTGGGCCTGCAAGCAGCTGAGCAGTTGTGTCAATAGACAACATCAATATTGACCCACAAAACTTGTGACCACAACTATTTTAAAATTGCTGCACTCGGTGACCTGTGGCTGAGAAGCCCAAGTGCCTGTGCTCGAGCTGCTGGTGCCTTGGGGACACTCAGGGCTGGGTGGGAAGCACAGAGGGGATTGAGCCAGGGCATGTTCTGAGGCCTTGTTTGGCTGGGAAAAGGTGGCTTCTGAAAGCTCTTTAAGGAAATGAAGAAATAAAACTTGGTGTGGGAAGAAAAAGTGCCACCAAAGTGGATTCCATTTGTCTGAGCGCTGTTCAGGCAGATCCTGGGTCCAGATAGGATCTTACCTGTGATGGAGATCAACAGCCAGTGGAGATGATGAGGAAAGCCAGAGAATCTCTGGATGAGTATTTGTTGCTTTCACAGAGGTGAGAAAACGCCTCCCTCACCAGACTGGGGGCTGGTGAATACTCTGAACCTCACCCAGAGGCAGAGCCTGTTGGGTGAAGCTGATGGCTCCGGACAGGAGCAGGTGTCCTTTGCCTTGTGTCCTGAGGAATAGAGATGGGAGGCAGAAAGTGTGAGATAGTTCTTCACTTGCCAAGCAAGAGCTCGTCTGTTCCTCTGGTGAACATTCCAGTTCTCCCAGAGTTTCTCCAGGGGGAGAGCAAGAGAGGCCACTGTGCATTTCCTGCAGGGAAGCAGCTGATTAGAATGAGGGATTTTCCATAATTAACGTGGGCAGAATTGCTGCTGAGTCAGGGGGCTCCCACCACTGGGAGGTGAGGCTGAGGCAGGTTCTTTCCTGATTCCCTGGGACGGCTCTTGACTTTGCTCTCGCTGCTCCCTTTCCCTCCAGGCCTTACGTTGACCTAGTGAACATCCTGCTCACCTGCGGAGAGGAGGTGAAGAAGGCAATAACGAGGAGCGTCCAGGCCCAGTGTGAACAGAACTGGGGAAGCCTCTGCTCCATCCTGAGCTTCTGCACCTCGGCCGTGCACGGAGACGCCGTCCTGGGAGCCGAGAGGAAGGTGGGGGAAGGCGGCAGGGCCGGTGCTGGCCGTGGGGACATGGTGGCCCACGCCGACCCCGAGCACAGGGAGAGCTCGCGAGCGGCCAAGGGGGAGAGAGGTACCAAGGGCCACTCCAACGCTCGGGTCAAAGCTGGGGGCCACAATCCCAAAGGGGCCCACGGGATCCTGGACCGGGCAGACGAACTGTCCGACTTCTCCGACATCCGGAGGTGAAAAGAGGCAC